ATATGGAGTGCTTAAACCTCTCAAAGCTGTCTGTTTTGTTGACTGAAAGATAATTGTGGACTGAATGATAATGAGTGTCATTGGAACCAAATCTGCTGGGGAACTCTGGGAAGCCAGACTTACCATGAGAAAAACACATCCGGTCCTGGGGTGCAAGTCAGTTGCTAATTCAGCTTGAGCTCAAGGAGACCCGGGTGCAATCTGCTAGGCCCTGGAGGCCAGGGAAGTGGGAGACAGAACTGGGTTCAGTTCCCCTGGAAAGACAGAGAAATAAGTCAACCAAAGGGTGCTGTCCAAGGTCAGCAAAAACCCCACAGTGAGAAATCTCAATGTAAAATGTGATTCGGGCCAGATGAGAAGGCTGGGTGCTACCTTCTCTGAGTTACAGACGCAGAAACTCCAGGTCTGCAAGACCCTGGGGGAGGGGAGGCCTGGGATTAAAACTCAGGGGTGCAGAGCCTGGGGTGAGGTGTGAGAGGGCGTGTCCCTGGGCCAACAGAGGTTGATGCTGCACAGTGGGAGCAGCAGAACGTCCTGTCCTGCCCTTTGGAAGCCCACCCGGGAGGCCCTTGGTTATCTCCCACTGTGGCCGGAAAGCATGGTAACTAGGGGCCCAGAGTCCTCGCATCACTGACCTGGCAGAGGCATGAGCCACAGCCTGAGGGAGACTCCACAAGAATGGCAGAGAAGGCAGGTGGCAGGACAGCTCAGTGCTCAGCACCAAATGCACCAGCGGCAGGTTAACGCACTGCACTGACTTTCCTTTCGTGTATTTCCCCTCAGAAATTGTGACCGTCTGAAAACAGAGAGTTTGTGATAGAAGGAGTAAATCTAACCTGTCTCAGTATTTGGGCAGCCTGTGTCCATTGTCTGGTTACCCATAGGACTACAGTATCCCTAGTCTACTCTTTTGTGTGAAGACCACCTTCAGGATGTAATTTATGCCCCAGACCTCCCCAGAGTCTGGGGCCTCAGCTCCTGTTTTTGCCTCTTCTACTTCCTGTCCTTTTCCCCAGGTTCTTCTTCCTTAACCCATCACTGGCAGTAAGAGCCTAGCTACAGGCTCTGCTTATGGACTTACAAGAAAAAGGATTTAAGGTAGATGAATGCAGATTTAAAGAACTGAATAAACATGTTGGACTTGCTTGAGGTACCCACTTTTATTTAGTTGGAAAAGGAGTGAATGAAAAATTCTAGAAAAGAGTTTGGAAATACAATTATTGAATGGCACTTTTCAGAAATTTAATGAAGCTAAATAAATTCAGTCTTTTTTTGTCTGCCTATCAGCTAAGACAGCTTATTACCAATGCAACTTCCTAGATTCAACTAAAATATGATGGGATCTATGTTCCAAGAATACATCTTGCAATTTAGAACTCAACTACACAAAGTGTAGGGCAGACACCTTGTCTACACTGCTCACCCAAGTCTCCCTGGTGCTCAGAGGTCCGGGAGACTGCTTCTTACTACACAAATGCATAGCTTTCTACTTAATGGCCCCTTCTGTCATGGTAACATATGCTTGACCTGATGCCAGGTGAGCAGAAAATGTTGAGGACTCAGAATCTCAGAGCAGCTCTCAACCATGGCAGTGATAGGAAGCTATGCTGCAAGTCACTGACTGCCCAAGGATTTATCCTGCCTTGGTATGGACAGCGCTGCACAGAAACTGTGCTAGTCATGGGCTAGGGGATACATCTGAAGAATGCAGCTCACAGTCCTGAAAAGCAGAGGATGTTCATGTTGGCTGAATTAAAAGAGGTGGAACTGATTTGGTGTACAGCTTGCTCAGAAGCTGCTGCAGAGCGAGGCTCTCAGGAGGGCTTCCCTGCTGATTCTGACTGGAGAGAGGTTATCCTGGAATAAACACACGTCCCAAACTCCCCTGGTTAGCAGGTTCTGATTTCCATTAGGGTGTGTGAGAGGTGACACATTTGTTCAAAAGTAAATCACTCTATTCATTGTCTACCTCACAGAGTCTTCAGCTTTTTCTAATTGCTCAGTATAAGTTTGCATTGTTCCCACAACAGGATTGTAAGATGTGGAAAGACACTTGGTAAGTCCACCCTTTTATTAGGTCCATGTGGGCCTACTGAGAGTGCGCCATGCACAGCCTTCTGGAAACAGCTGCCCACTCCCTACTGCAAACCCTTGTCTCCTCTTGCCATGAAAAAGCCATAACAATTCTTGGTCCTGGAAGTTCCTGACTTATGGCAGAGAAAAATGAAGGTAGAGAAATTTGCCAACTCTTATAGCAAGTGTTATGACAGGAAAGGTAAGAGGTAGAGGAGTTTCAGCCCACTCATCCCTGGGAAGAGCAGGAGTACAGAGTAGGGGCTGTGTTTGCATATGGCATGAATGTACTCCCAAAGCTCTCATGGGCTGAAATCTGTTCCCCATTATGAAGCATGAAGAGCGTAGAAACTTAGCTCTGCTATGGTACATGGAGCCGAGCTCTTTGGGAAGTGAGTAGGATTCAGGTCATTGGGGTGGAGTCCCCATGATTGAACCCTGGTGACTTGGTGAGAAGAGAGAGAGGTCAGAATGGACACAGGTTCTCTCTCTCAGACATGCACACACACACGCTCCTTCTCTACATGATTCTCTGGATTTCTGCTGGGTCTGTTGTCATTTCACCCTTTTATTCCTAATTGCATGGATTTGGGCATTTTCTTTCCTTTTTCTGATAAGGTTGGCTAAGGGTTTGTCAATTTTATTGATTCTTTCGAAGAACCAACTCTTGGCTTCATTGATTTTTTTGTATAGTTCTCTTAGTCTCCCTTGCATTGATTTCTGCTCTGATCTTTATAATTTCCTCCCTTGTATGAGCTTTGGGGTTGTCCTGCTCTTCTTTTTCTAGAAGCTTGAGGTTCAGCATCAGGTTGTTTAATTCGGCTAGCTCTGTTTTCCTAATATGAGTATTCACTGCTATGAATTTCCCTCGTAAGACTGCTTTCATTGTGTCCCATCGATTCTGATATGTTGTATTGTCATTTTCATTTAATTGAATGAACTGCCTGATTTCTTCTTTAATTTCCTCTGTGACCCATTGGTTATTCAGAAGTGTGTTGTTCAATTTCCATGTGTTTATGAAATTTTTGCAGTTTCTTTTGCTATTGATTTCCAATTTCACCATACTATGGTCTGATAATATACAGGGGATAATTTCAATTCCTTTGCACTTACCTAATATGTTCTATGAGCGAGTATGTGGTCTATTTTGGAGAACAACCCGTGTGCAGCTGAAAAGAATGTGTATTCTGATTTTGTGGGGTGGAGCACTCTGTAAACATCTGTTAAGTCCATTTGTTCAAGAGTTTGATTGAGTTCTAATATTTCCTTGCTTGTTTTTTGTCTAGTTGCTCTATCTATTTGTGACAATGGGGTATTGATGTCCTCCACTACTATTGTGTTAGTGCTTATATGATTTTTCTTATCTGTTAGTATTTGTTTTATATAGTTGGGTGCACTAGTGTTTGGTTCATAGATATTTATGATTGTCATCTCTTCCTCTTATATTTCTCCCTTTACAAGGATGTAGTGTCCTTCTTTGCCTCTTTTAATCAGTGTTGGTTTGAAATCTACTTGATCTGCAAAGCGGATAGCTATTCCTGCTTTTTTTGGGGTTCCCGTAACATGGAGTATTGTTTTCCACCCTTTAACTTTCAGTCTATGAGTTTCTTTTTGAATTAAGTGTGTTTCTTGTATGCAGCATATTGTTGGATCTTTCTTCTTGACCTATTCTGCCAATCTATTTCTTTTGATTGGTGAATTGAGATCATTAACATTGATGGTTATAACTGATACGTATTGACTTATCATTGTCATGACTTTTTCTTTCCATTGGATTCTCCACCTTTGCATGTAATTTCTTGTTGTGCCTGATGGATTCATTCTGCTGGGCTTCCTGGAGTTGTGATCCTCATTGTCTTTCCTAGGATATTGTCTAAAATTTCTTGGAGTGCTGGTTTGGTATTCATGAAGTTCCTAAGGTGCTCTTTGTCATGAAAGTATCTTATTTCTCCATCAATTTTGAAAGACAGTTTTGCAGTGTACATCAATCTGGGTTGGAGGCTGTTCTCCTTTAAGGCTTGCAATACTTTACTCCAAGCTCTTCTTGCCTTGAGGGTTTGCATTGAGAAGTCTGCTGTGATTCTGATGGGCTTTGCTTTGTATGTGATTTGTTTCTTTTCTAACTGCTTGTAGAATTTTGTTCTTCTGTTAAGTTTCTGGAATCTTAACAACTATATGCCTTCGTGTAGATTTTTTTTGATCAAGGCTATTTGGTGTTCTATATGCCTCACTTATCTGTATGTTGAGTTCTTGCTATCTGGGATTTTATTAAGCTCATCACCCCTTATATCTAAGTTCTTGACCTTCTTTCAGCAGTAATTTTATTAATCCAGTTTATCGAGAATCCCTCTACCCTTCCTAGTAACCAAGCTATTCTTGGTAATCTCCGATGCACTGATTCCCCTACCTTTCTGCCTTGGCTGGAAATCCTTAGCTCTCCTTGCAGCTGAACTCAACCCTGTTCTGCAGCCTCTTTCCTCTACTGTAGTAGTTTGAGTAAGATATATTTACTATTTTAACAAGTAGCCAGGAACAGCTTTTCTTTACATTAAACCCAAGAGTTTTCTTTATAATAGAAGTTACTGTTAAGCACCGAATGTGAATGTGATTGTATTGGGAGTGATCACGGCAAAGGGAGCACTTTGTATGCAAAACACATAGGATGTGTTTTGTTAAGGAAAATGAGAGTGACTTTTCTACCATAAAATGAATAATTGTTCCAGTACACATGGTGTAGGGAAAACCCTGACTGGATAATGTTGTTGAAGCTTCAAGGAAAGGACATTGTATTTTATTTTTGTAGACAGCTAAGTTTAAATAAGTTATTTATTTATAAGATTGTAAATGAGAGCAGTAACATTAAATTTTATACTGATGTAAAACTACAATTTAGGTTTCTTTCTATTAAAATCATATATTTTGTTGGCTAGTGATCTTTTCAATACAAGTTTGTAAGAGACTTTCCTTTATTTTCTGAGTAATTTTCACAGACTATAAATATTCAAGGTCTCATCAGAATAATTTCTTATGCTTGGTGTTGACTTTAACATGTCCTTCATTATTAAAGAAAACAAAGTCTTCACTTAAAAAAGTTGGATTTTAAAATAATCTTGTTACTTCTCTCATCTGCCTTAAAAATCTCTTAATGTCATTTGGATTAAACAGGGAACCAAGTATTGTTCCTTGGTAATCCAGTATCCCATTTAATTAAATATTCACATTTCTCGACAACTTTTTATATTTCACCTCTCCCAAAGCAAATCCTAAAGGATATCTTATGCCATGTTAAGGAGCAAAAAAAGTCAAATTAAGTGAGAAAAAGTGTTATTAAGGGCAACTATCATAGTAGGAAGGTGTCTGATGCTCAGAGACTGAGGCAAGAATCACAGGCAAGCAGAGTCCTAGGAAGGGTGTCTTCTAACAGTGTGTGGATGGGGATCCATGAAACTCAGTGGACCGTATTCAACATGGCACCATCAGAGAAGCTGAAGTGGGAGTTTGGATATGGTTAGGCGGTAGAGTGGGTCTCTAGGTCTGAGAAGGAACAAATTCAAGTCCAGGAGGTTCATGTAGAGTGGAGGGCTGTTTGTTTTGGCAAAACAGCATACAGTTGTTTTGAGGACAAAGTTTGAACACCTTTGTCAGCACCATCTTTTGTCCAGGACAAGTCAGAAAGAAAGTCCTGAGCAACACAGTGATGAGGAGATTTCAACAAGGGATGGCAGAGTAGAATAATCCCTGGGGTCAGAGTTTCTTCAGAGTTAGTCCTTTTGAACCATCAGATATTTAAGTGCCCTTTGATCAGACATCTGAAAGCAGGATGTCTAAAAGAAAAAAAAGAAATATTAGTGTAAAAGGGTGTATTAAGTTAAAGAAACAGGAGTTGAACCCAAAGATGTCCAATTCAGGGGATTCCAAAGATGGTGGATGAAAACTTTTGAGCAGGCAGCGCTGTTCTGAGTTCCCTAATGGTCTTGGTGACATTGTACATGGTTTGAACTACTTTTCCTATGAGGCCTGGCCTGGCCTAAGCAATTAAGAAAACATGGTTAGTGGTTCAGAAAGTGGCTTTCCAGAGAGAAATAGGACTGTGCTTAGTGATTCATTCCTCAGCCCTCTGCAGTGTGAGTCTTACAGGCATATAACAAGTTAGTGGACTTTTGCTTGCAGTGATTCTTGGGAAACTGGGGGCAGCCAGAAGAGAAAGTCTCAGTAAGGATGGAAGTGGTCAATTTTTAGTGTGCAGAGCAAAGAGAGAGAGAAAAATCAGAAGGTTAGTTTGTAGTCAGATACTTAAGGAACTGGAAGGATAGAAAATCTGGTCCAAGTCCACAAAGTGAGAGGTTCTAGTCTGATTGAGGCAGGGACCAACTGCTGCACACAGGGAGAGAGAAAGCTTGGCAAGCAGACAGCACAGAGCCAGCATTTCCATCAGTCTCATGCCATTTACACACAGGGTCAAAGCAGCTCAAACACATATGCACAAGAACCTGGGCATCCAGAAGGCTGTGCTAGTTTCCCACTGAAACACAGAACTTCTTTCCACTGATTCCCTTCCCCCACTTGATCAAACATAACCCCCAAGAAAGACTATTTCTGACCACTCAATAAGGCTGACTTACACTGGCTGTTTACATAAGTACTGCAAGAATGGCAACTTACACATCAGTCTTCTTACATTGGCTCTGCAGGAAGTTTTCATAAAGAATCTCAAATTTCAAAGCCTCTTGAAGATGAGAAGCCAAGCCAAGAACTGACCATCAGTTTTACCTGCAGAACCCATTGCTTTGGCAGGAATTTCTCTCTTCTTGGGCTTCCTTGAACAGCCTAAGATTCCTAAGTCTCCTGGGAAGACACTTCCTTACATGCCTGTTAGACCAGGAACCCTGTGAAGCCAGGGCTCAGGCCAGGTTTCCCAAGAGGAACTTGGTAATCATTGGCTGCAGAGTCTGCCTTATTTCTTGAGAAGTGCCTGCTCATAGCTGATTAAAGAAGCATCCTTCTCAACTATGACATTCCAGGCAAAACCTTGGTGTACTGTCAGTGTTTCCAGTTATGTCCTGTTTTCAAGGAGGATATGCTCCCATGGAATCTATGCAAATATGTACATTGCCATGAAAATAAGGGTATTCAGTAAGAATTTCTCAAATTTGAAAGGGTGAATCAGGAAGGAAGAGATAGAAATTTCGCTTCTGTTTACAAGGAAAGGTTATCATTGGTGGAATTGAGGGATAGGTTCAAGAGAAAAGAGAAAGGGATCCTTTATATCCAGAAAATAGATTATTAAAGCAACAAGACTGTCCAAAGTGAGTCCATAATCACTTACCATCAGTTCATTCCATGCTATGTTATTAATCCTTTTCTACTTCATCCTAGATCAGCAGTCTCAGGAACTCATGTCTCTCAGCGGGAGGTCTAGACTCCTCTGCTTTGGGCACTGTTTTGGTCTTACAGGTTTTTTTTTTGGTACCAGGGATCAAACTCGGGACCTTCTGCTTGTGAGGCAGGGGGCAGAAGCACTGAGCTAAATCCCTGGCCCCATCCTACAGTTTGAAGTGATTCCATCACAGGCTTTTGCCTGAGTTTTCAGTATTGTCCTTTCCCAGGGGTCTCTGAGATGGTCCATTCTCTTAAAGACAAAGCCCACTGGCCTATTGCTGATTTACAAGTCCTCATGGGGAAGCATCAGAGTAAAACATTAACCATCTGTAGTTTAAAAAAAGACTTAAAATGAGTATTATTGACATATTTTGGCTATTTTTCAAAGCAAAAGGTCTGATGAAAGTTAACTATGGAAATAAGTACAAGTGACAGGGAAATTAGATTTTTATATGACACAAAGTCTGTTCTAAAAGTTTTAGACAAAATATGTATATATGTAAAGATTAATTCTATTTTCAAAGAACAGTGCATAATGCATCTAATTTATGAAAATAGATGAGCATAATTTTTTCCAAGAGAAAATTGCAGATGTAATAATCATGAGACATAATATACTATGAATATATAAAGCACACATTAGAATATATCACGAATATATTATCAACCCAGAAGATTCAGTATAGCTGTATAAGTTTAGGAAGAAAGCACTCAGACAGAATAAGACTATTTTTTCAATGCTGAGAATGCAGAAGACATACTATGTTTATTAATTCAGCAATATGAAATTATTTTCACTGACCAAAAATTTATCTAAGTTGTGTGTTAAATTTTAAAAACATTTTGGTAAGGTTTTATGGGAACACTTTTTCACATTGATTGTATTACAAATTTAATCTCCTTAACTTCTCTGAAGCTCAGGAATATTTGGTTTATATAGGCTCTTATTTACATCTAAGCTGAACCAAATGGACCTCCTTTAATGGATTTTAGGATTTAATCTTGTAATACCATTTGGAGCCAGGTTGGTCTCAAACTCCTGGATTTGAGTGATCTTCTGACTTCAGCCTCCTGAGTGTTGGAACTTCAAACTCATTCCCCTTGGCTACATCTAATTTAAAAATTTTAGCCATGGTTCAGGCATAATCACAAAAATGCAAAGCTCCCTGGTTTACATAGAAGAGCTGACTCTCATTGTTGCTTCAGCTCCACTTTTTCCTAAGGATGGTGTTTTTAGTCAATGGGGCAAGTTGAAACAACTAGCACAACATGAGGGCTGAAGCCCTTTCATCAGTATCCGTGTGGGGAACTCTTAAGCTGTCTGTGGCCTGATGTGTAATTCTATGGATGCTGTAACCTAGATTTCAGGGGAGGGATAGAGGAGAGGAGCATCCATGCCATGTCTCCTAAGCCCATCTGAATGGACAGAAGAGTCTGGTGGTCTCTAGGTAACCTTTCAGCCTCAGATTGTAATGTTGATTTCCCCGAGCTCTGCCAGAGCCAGGGGGAGAGACTTTAGGCTCAGGTGAGCAAAGGGAATCGAGGGTCTAATGGGAAGCAGAAAGGAGGGGTGCAGCAGCTAGAAATGAGGAAATGGGGAGGTTCAGGGACCCCAGGGAGCTGGAGGGAAAGTGGTAAAAGGAGAAGGAGATTCAGGGGTAGGTGATGAGAGGAGACAGGTTTTAGAAGGAATCAGAAAAGGAAGACAGGCTTTGAAGGAAGCAACGGCCTCTGGAAAGCTTTTGCAGGAAATATTTTGTTTCTATGCCTAACAAGCCAGCAATTGAGAAAAGAGGACTCTGTTCCTTGGTTGAGGTCTTATGGATGTGATATGCAAGAGCCCCTCACAGAAGGAGATGATTTGGGCAGATCCTAAGATGCCCCAAAGAGGACACTGGAGATTAAGTTCAAGACTTCGTCATTTTTGAGCAGTGCTGAATTGGGACTGATGAGGGCACAGGTTACGTGCAACTGAGGGGTGTGAGGGACCACAGTTGGGTGGACAGGGGCCATAATAACAACAGGAATACCTGCAGATGCTGAAGACCTTGGGACCATAACCAAGGCATGATTTCTTGGGAGAGAATCGGGGCCTTTAACCAAATCCCCAAAAGGCAGAAAAATAGGAAAAATTACAAAACCCAAAGAAAAATAAAATCAAGTTCTTACTGTGCCACCACAGAAGATATCTGGAACCCTAAATGGGGATCATGACTCACCACTCTGTGGATCCTGATTCTCCCAGCCAGAAAGAAATAGCAACAAAGAGCTGGCATTAACACTTGGGGGAGAGAGGAGCTGAAGAGTGGCCAGCATCCGTCCGAGTCCTGGCATCACTGCTGGCAAAGGAAAACCTAACCTATACATTAGGATGGAAAACTGCATTAAGGGGTGCTGCAATAGGAGGAGGGGAGCACTGTAACGGAAATATGCTCAAAGTCTAAGTCCCAATGTCTCAAGAAACAGTTGGGTAGGCAAATCAGTTAAATTCAGAGATGCCTGGGGTAGATGGCTTTGGACAGAGGGAGATGCTGCAAGTTGGTGGTGAGAGTTCTTGAAACCTAACAAACATCAAATACAGTGATGGCAGGAAATGTTTTGAGGTTAAGCACGGGGGCGGCAGCTTCACCTGAGGTGGAGCAAACGTGTTAAAGTGAGAAAAATACAAATGGTGCTGGGGCCTCTGTGTTAAGCATGCTTCTTATTAGCTGCATCAGCACCTAACACTACCTTTGAGGCCCCTGGAAAATCACGAAGGTTTGTTTGTTCATCTAAGGAAGTGTTAGAAATGATTCAGATTGTTTGAACTGTTACTAGTGACTAGAAGCAGGGGTAGCACTGTCAAATCCAAGGAGATGCATATATTTCCCTGGGTGAAATTTGTACGGGTAAAAGGTTATTAGTGTGAATGTTTAAAAAATTGTGTATGCATGGAAAGGCTCTAGAGGTGTGGGCATGCGCTGTTTCTTTCTCCTGAGTCCTGGTAATGCTTTGCCTAATGCCAGACATCAGTTTCCTGTTATCATTCATCACTTCAGTTATTTTTTAAACATTAAATTGGTTTCAGCTTTACTTATTTAATTTGGACACAATATATTTTAGGGGAGTGGTTTTCTCTTGGGAATTCCCATCACTTATTTATGCAGTTTTTTTTTTTTTGGTACTGGGGATCGAACTCTGGACCTTGTGCTTGTGAGGCAGGGAGTGGCACCACTGAGCTAAATCCCCGGCCCTATTTATGCATTTTGTTAATATACTGATACCAAGAACCTACTTCAGATATACTGAATCTTTGTTTTTTGTAATCTTAGTATGTTTTTGGTAAATTCTGATTATGTGCTGGGTATATATGCATCTAATGTCGCAGGATTTTTATGTTATGTCTGAAAATGCTTTCTCTATATAGATTATATATATATATATCTCCATTTTCATAAATTAGGTGTGTTGTGTGCTCTTCTTTGGAAAAACTATCTAAACATTGTGTTTATAGACATTTTGCCTAGAATGTTTTTTGGATTGACTTTATTTTGTTTTGTGTGCCATATAAATAGCCAGATTTTCTCATCAATTGCATTACTAATGTAACAAACTCTATTGAGATCATTTTTGAAAAATATCAATAAGTGAGTAATAGTCATTTTTAGTTTTTTATCACCAGCAGATCAATTCTGGGGGGAATGTTTTGGTTTACTCAGATGCTTTCATGAAATCCTTGCAGTTGGATATAGGTTAGAGTGTTCATTCTCAACAGAGAATTGTCTTAGAGTCTAGTGGAACAGGACTGGGGCAGACACAGTGGAGTACAAATTTCTAATGACATTGCTTAAACACAATCAGATCATATCACTGGACCAAGTCAGAATTTCCACACATCCAGTTGACAAGCAGATGTGTCCATGAGACAACCAATCCCAGACCTAGAAGGACAAGAAGTGATTGTAGTAGTTCTTCGTCTCCTCCACGAACATTTCCAGATGCCCAGTGGATGCCTGAAAATAAAGGTCATATCAACTCCCATAACTTGGCAACTCTACATGGACTACAGCCATAACTTTTGCATTTTGAACTAGGACAGCAAAATTAGTATGAATTTATTTTCCTTTATGAATATAAAATTCATTCTTATTGTAGATCTTAATGACATCAGCATACAATTTTTTGCTTACTAAATAAAGAACTTTTACCTTTTCATTTAAAGGAAACATTTCACAGCTTCTCCGTGGCATATGTGAATTACCAGCATCCATATTCTTGAGCCATGAAGCACTCTGTTGCATAAAGGATTACCTGAACACAAACATTTCATCTTAGTCACTGTGGATGTGAAAACCAAGATGGCTATCACGTGTACCAAGTGGCTAATGAGCTGGTTGTGTATACAGCATGGATATAGTGGACAAAGGATAGTTAATGCCTGGTGTGGAACACAGTGGGGTGACAACACAAGATTTCATCATGCGATTCAGAATAGCATGTAACGTAAAACTTACAAATTATTTCTTGCTAGAAATTTTCATTTAATATTTTTGGGCTATGATTGATTGCAGACAATTTTTTTTTAAGAAAAAGAATTGGAAAGTAAAACCATGGAAAAGGGGAAAATACTATACAAAAACTGAATGAGCTCATGAAAGATGATTGGGAATTTGTTTGAAATTTTGTTAATATTTTAACGCTGTTTTCTGGATATAAATATTCTATCACTCACCAATTCCATAGATTTCCTATCTCTTGCATACAAAGCAAAACTTCTGTCTTTTTCTTCCTGACTCACCCTTTCAAGTTTCTGAAATTCTTACTGAATATTCCTATTTTCATTGCAATGAATCTATATTTATATAGATTCAATGGGAGCCTGCCTTCTTTGAGAGCAGGACATGATTAGAAACTCTGGCAGTACAACCAAGATTTTGCCTGTAATGTCATATTTGAGAAGGATGCTCATTTAATCAGGTTTGACCAGGCATTTTTCAAGAAATAAGGCTTATTCTCTGTAGCCAACATTTACAAAGTTCCTCTGAGGAAAACTGGCCTGAGGCCTGGGTTCTCAGCCTTAAAGACATGTAAGAGAGTGACTTCCTAGCATGTTCAGATATCTTAGGCTATTCAGGGAACCTCAAGAAGAAAGGTATTCCTGCCCAGGCAATGGATTTTACAGGTAAAATCTGATGATGAGTTCTTGGCTTGGCTTCTCATCTTCAAGAGGCTTTGAAAAGGGCAATTTGAGATTCTTTATGAAAACTTCCCCCCAGAGCCAATATGAGAAGATCGATGTGTAAATTGCCATTCTTGTTGTCCTGATGTTTAAGAGATACTGAGTTGTTTGCTCCTGACTGGAGGGCAAGAGCCAGCCAGCCCCGAATGGTATCCAGTTGCTCTGTGGCACAAACCCTTGGCCCTGGTTGCCTCCAGGGTGGATAGGAAGATGTGCATTAGGGTACCTAGTGGTCTAAGGACACTGGGTTAGAAATACAGATCAACCAGCTAACTTCCCAGTCTTGCAACATGGATGGATCAGATCAGTGTTTCACTGGTATGATTATCTGGGTGTGATTTTTATTCCCCAAATAGGACTTGAGGCTGTAATGGGGGATGTTGAATGTCTTACTAGCTAAATGCAAGAAGCTTTAAATGACATTGAAGAAGGTATTTCATTACTATATTCAGAAGTAAAAATGATGAGAGAAAAGTCACTCTACAAAATCAATAGCCCTAGATATTCTGACAGCAGTACAAGGTGGAACATGTGCGGTTTTCATAACAGAATGTTGTTTACTTTACATTCCTGACAACTCTGCAGCTGTGTCCTCTGAATCACATGATTTACATTGGCAAATCAAAGCAGCGTCAGACTCTGCCATAGCTTTCATGACTGGGTGGCATCCTGGTTCTTGGGCAAACTGGTAGATGAAAGTTCTCATGTTTTGGACTATGATAGTGTGTATTGGGATTCTTTTATATTGTCTGATCCATTGCTGATGTGGGCTAGTATCTCTTATGCCCTTGCTCTCTTTTTCAGACTATCAGAGGATGATGGTTCTTCAAAAAAAAAAAAAAAAAAGAAGGAACCTGATATTCCTATGTCTCCTTTAGATCAGACAGGATGAGACTTTTGGTCCTTGGTTAGGGATGGTCATGGCCCCTTCTCAGCCTGATGCAGTTAAAAGAAGTTGGACATCTGGACCTTCTGGAACCCCTAAGAATAAGGGTTTAAAGACTCAGGGTTGGAAGTGAGGTAGGATAGAAAAAATAAAAAAAATATGCAGAAAGAAGACAAGGAACTAAAGATTTTAAAGTTGTACTTTTAAGAAAAACTGAAGCAAGACAAGTTAATTTTTGTTCTTCTGAAGGCCCCTTCCCAGCTTGTGGACCCCATCTCCCATCCTTATAGAGAGTAGTCTGAAATTCCTAAAAGGTCCTTTTGCAATAGCTAACAAATTCCTGGGTATTACATCTGTCTTTTTCACCTGCAAATTACCTTTGCCTCCAGCCCAGGATGCAGCAAAGTTGGAGACAGCATATCTCAACTTCAAACAGCATATCTGGACTTCAAACACATATAGATGGCTTGCACTGTAATGTGACAGACAGGGAGAATCCACACTCTAGACTGGCTGTCTTGAAGGGATGCCTTTGAATGTGCTCTACTCCAGCTGGTAATGTTCTCATTTCTTTGAGCATCTCTACACCACTCTTGACTGTATCCTATATCTCTGTCTCCAATAAACCTCTCAAGTCCCTTTTACTGGCATGCCCTGAAGATTCTTTTTCCATAATTGGAGGCAGTGAACCTGCCAACTTATTTTAAAAGGGGGTGTTAAGTTCTTTATTTCAGCCTTGGGCACCAGAGGCCCAATCTGGTGACAACCTGCATAGATTCCATGGGAGCCTGTCCTCCTTGAAAACAGGACATAACTGGAAGCACTGACAGTACAACCAAGGTTTTGCCTGGAATGTCATAGTTGAGAAGGATGCTTCCTTAGTCAGCTATGAGCAGGCACTTCTCAAGAAATAAGGCAGACTCTGCAGCCAATGATTACCAAGTTCCTCTTGGGAAACCTGGCCTGAGCCCTGGCTTCACAGGGTTCCTGGTCTAACAGGAATGTAAGGAAGTGTCTTCCCAGGAGATTTAGGAATCTTAGGCTGTTCAAGGAAGCCCAAGAAGAGAGGAATTCCTGCCAAAGCAATGGGTTCTGCAGGTAAAACTGATGGTCAGTTCTTGGCTTGGCTTCTCATCTTCAAGAGGCTTTGAAATTTGAGATTCTTTATGAAAACTTTCTATGGAGCCAGTGTAAGTGTAGGAAGACTGATGTGTAAGTTGCCATTCTTGCAGTACTTATGTAAACAGCCAGTGTAAGTCAGCCTTATTGAGTGGTCAGAAATAGTCTTTCTTGGGGGTTATGTTTGATCAAGTGGGGGAAGGGAATCAGTGGAAAGAAGTTCTGTGTTTCAGTGGGAAACTAGCACAGCCTTCTGGATGCCCAGGTTCTTGTGCATATGTGTTTGAGCTGCTTTGACCCTGTGTGTAAATGGCATGAGACTGATGGAAATGCTGGCTCTGTGCTGTCTGCTTGCCAAGCTTTCTCTCTCCCTGTGTGCAGCAGTTGGTCCCTGCCTCAATCAGACTAGAACCTCTCACTTTGTGGACTCAGACCACATTTTCTATACTTCCAGCTCCTTAACCATCTGACTACAACTAACAGCTTCCAAATGAACTTTTTAATTTTTTCTCTTTTGACTTTAATTCACTAACAACTGAAACTTGACTACCACAATCCTTATTGGAATTTTAGGGTGCCTTGTAGCTAATCTTTCTCTTGATATTTGAAGAATCACATCAAGCTCAATGCTGAGTACTGGTTATAAGGACTGTCATTCCACCTAAATACTCATGGTCAGCTCTTATACTAGACAAGAAACTCTTGGGATTGCTAAGAAATTCCAGTGAAATTCTCAGCTTGTGCATTCCCTTATTGGAGAAGTAACTTACACTGAGCAAAATTACCAATATAACTGACCTCTTAGCTTCAAGAACTCAGTGAATGCTGAGAGGCTGGCTATACAAATTGCTGTGGTTTGGATGTTGTTAGAGTGTGTTCCTTAAAGACTCCTGTGCTGGAACCTTGTTCCCCAGGGAGGCAATGTGGAAGTGGGAGAGCCTGTAAGAGGTGAGCCTTGTGCAGGTTGTTAGGTCACGGAAGTTCCATCCTCAGAAGGGATTAATGCTGTTATTCCAGGGTAGATTAGTTCTTGAGAGGATATGATTTTGTAAAGCAAATTTGGTCTCCGTCTTGCTGCCTCTCTCACCATGTGATCTCTCTCTGTAGAACTTGCTTTTGTCATAATGCCCTCTTGCCATGTTGTGACATAACCAGAAGGCCTTCACCAAAGACAAGCAGATTCTAGATCTGTGCTTTTGGACTTCCAGAATTGTGACCTAAACTGACTTCTTTTTTTTTTTTTATCTATTATATCTTTTAAAAAATCTATCATCAGATATTTTGTTAAAGCAACCAAACATAGACTAAGATATTAACAAAATGATCAGTCCATGTATAAAATATAAACCTGGCCACAGTCTCTGGAACAGCTAGTCTAAGAAGCCTTTTTGCAACCTACTCAGCCTCGCCTCCCAAATCAATTAAGACTTGGTCAATAATTGGCCAGATTCCACCATAATATCTGTCCCATTTCTGATTTATGACCAACTGTAGAAAGACAAATATCCACTGCTCACCAACCACACTGGATGGCCCCTAACATCCTGTCCCAACAACCTTCAATGGGGTATATCTGAAGCCTTCCTATTTCTTCTCTTACAGAGCATTCAAACTACTCTACTTATGTTTGAATGTCTGACAAACACAAATGAATTTGAATATGTGTAGTAAACTTTGAATAAAGAGCTTTTGTTTGTTCTCATATGAGTGATAATCACTTATTTCCAGTTTTGCAGGTTGCGACTAGAAATGCCAATCCCCACAGACCTATCCTCACAGCCTTCCACCAAGTGTGGAACCCCTTGTGCCCTCCTGCTTGCTGCTCATCTTTCCCAGAACCTCTACCAAGATTCTCAAGATTTATAAATTTCTCTTGTGATTCAGTTTTGATTCAATATGTAGATGATATTCTACTTTGTTCAGTGAACAAGGAAGCTGGTAAAAATGTGGTGCATCTGCCCCAGTCCTGAGCTCTGGTCTTTTGTGGTATAGTCAGTCCCTCAGCTCTTATTCTGAGTTTGGTACCTTGGTTTTGTTATCAGTTCCCATTTGTTTTACACCCTTGATAGAGCCAAGTCACTGCCTTCATCCTTTTTGCTGCCTCTCATGTCACCATCTAGATTATGCTGGGTAAATGTGTAGTTTGTCATAAGAAGGATCACAGGTATAATGCAGGCATAGGTGTCCTAAGTCTGTGGAAGGTGAGAGGCCCACAGACCAGTGAGTTTTAGTCCCTAACTCAAATGTCATCTTGTCATTATTCTGCCCAAAGCCACTTGCTTCCCTGCAGTGGTTCTTTGCTCTGCTTTTCCAAGTGTGCCTCTAGAGCAGAAGACATACTGCTGCCTTTTCTTGGGGGAAGGGAACACTTCTTATCTTCTCCAGAACATCCACAAAGATTTTTAAGATTTATAAAGGTCTATTGTGATTCAATTTTGAAATTTTGATCCAATATGTGGACAATATTTTATTTTCTTCTGTGGACAAGGAAGCTAGTAAAAAATTGCATTTACTTCCTTTCAGCCCTAGCTGAAAACAATCATGTTTCAAAAGATAAAATTATGAAATTTCCAGAACACAGCCCATTATGAGAGGGATGGCCTTCTTAAGGAGGTAGAAACACTCTCTTCTCTCAAGATGGTGACCAAAACTATTTCTAGATTTCACTGGATGTTGCAGAGAGGGTGCCAGATTTTCTGTGATTGCAACATCTCTTTATTGGCAAAGTGCTCAAAGACTCTGATCTGCGAGTACAAATAAAAACAGTACCTCCCAACCCGAAGAAGGCTCCTCAACCTGTTCTTTCCTTAGGAATCTCTAATTGCGAAAAGCTCTTTTGGCAGTTTCTACATGTGTGCTCTGGACATGTTCTGAGGGTTCTCAATTTCATGGAAACTGAAATCTCTCTAGCTCACTGTTTCTTCAGCCTTGAACTTGCTATACAAGTTAATTCCCCATGTCTTAGAATAGATGTGGCTGCAAAATTTACTACTGATTGAGTTCACACAACACTTTTCAGCCAACCAGTTAACCTCTTACATCCTTTCTCCTCTCACATTACTGTTTACCCCTTCAGCACACTGAATCTTGCCACTTTTCCTAAAAAATGGGCAACATCATAATTGTCTGGCTTCAGTTAGGGAACTTTACGTATCTCACTTCCACACAGTGAAAACCTGACCTAATACTGTACTGATAGGTCATACCTGGAAACTGGCCCTGGAGTTATTTAATAGGTTATGCTATCAGGATCTAAAATAGATTTTTCAAGTACAGTCCTCTTTCTGAAGTAAAACCAGCCCAGGCAGTAAAACTTACTGCACTTACTAGAGTTTATCAACCAGCAAAATACCAAACAGTAAAGATAGATAAATGATAATAGATAGATAGATGAGAGATACAGAGAGAGAGATAGACAGCAGATATGCTTTGGGGCCAGGAGATGCCTTTCTTATGCTTTCAAGACAAGGGGCGTTTCTTGTCTTACCAAACTGAAGAGGAAGCCCATGTAAAAATAAACAATAGCTTAAGGAACTTTTAGGTAAACTCCTACAACCTTGAAGGATGGCTGTTACTGAGCAAGGGCTCATGTGAAGAGCGATGGGCTAGCGGAGATGGGCTAGCAGAGATGGTCTAGCCAACCTTTATGCTAAATAAGCTACCTTAACCAAAGTTAGGATTCTATCTGAACCCTGAAGGAAAAACCCTCGTGGGATTTTGAAAAAGAAAAGAGTGTGGTTATGCTCTATTGAAATTCTCTGCTACTTTCAAGATGGTCATTTCAGATACTAGATAATTTCAAATGGATATTAAGTAAATTTATCCGTGAAACCACTCATCAGATCAGTTAGTCCTAAGAGCCATGAATGAGGACACTAACAAGAGGACAGAGGTCATGTGTTACCTGTTAACAACATAATCCTGGAAAAACTGAAAAGGTGGAACAAGGCAGGGTTTTAAAACCTGAATGGCGCATTGAATATCTTCAGATGGATTTTATTGGTTTCCTGATGGTACAGGATTTGAACACATTAGTTATATATTTATATGGATGGAATGCAGCATTTTCTTGCTGAGAAGTTACAGCCTTGACAGTTGCTTAAAAAATCTGCTTGAGTTTGTGTTTACTAAATTTTATTTTATTTTATATTTTAAGTATTGTATTTCTTTTCAAGACTGGGTCTAGCTATGTAGTTCAAAGCTGGTTTAGACTCACTGTGTAGCCTAGGCTGGCCTTGAACTCCCTGAGAGCCTCCTGCCTCAGACTCAGGTGTGCTGAGATCATAGGCCTGCACTACCACGCCCAATGCAGCCTAAATCTTACATCAAATATATTAATTGGCTTTCTTGTTGTTGCTGGCACAAAATACCTGACACAATTTAAAGGAGAAGAAGATTATTTTAGTTCTGAGTTTGAGACATGTCAGTCCTTGGCTGGCTGGGTCCAATGCAGCAACATCATGGCAGAAGGACACGGTGAGCAAAGCCTCTCACTTCAAGGCATCTGGGAGGCAGAGCATAAGCACAGCAATTGTAAGACCGCTGTCCTTACCAAACGCTCTGAGGAGCTGACTATAGTGAAGCACACCCAGGGATCCCAGCGGTGCCTCCAGAATGTAAGGCCAAAGGCCTTACCAAATGCTCCAAGGAGCTGGAGTGGAGCACACCC